GGAGAGGTAGAATGGGGTAAATTATCTCACATAAAACAGACAAGAAAAGGCTATCACAGTGGAGGGGAAACAAGAGAAGGTGACGGAATGAGTGAATCCTATGCTCACAGGATCTGGCTTAAGGAGGGAATAACATACACAAACAATTGGGTATGGAAATCTATCTTACCCTACAGAAAAATAGGGGGGGAAGGGGACAAGAAAGCAGGGGGATGATAGAGGGGAGGGCAGATTGGGGGAGGGGGTAATCAGAAGCAAACACTTCTGAGGAGGGACAGGATCAAAAGAGAGAATAGAATAAATGGGGGGTAGGATACGACGAAGGGAAATATAATTAGTTTTTCACAACATGACTACTATGGAAGTGTTTTGAATGACTACACTTGTATAACCTGTATCGAGTTGCTTGCCTTTTCAATGACAGTGGGTGGGGAGGGAGGAAGGGAGAAAATTTGGAACCCAAAGTTTTAAAAACACATGTTTAAAAAAAATGTTTTCACATGCAACTGGGAAATAAGAAATACAGGAAATGGGGTACAAAAATCTATCCTGCCCTACAGGAAAATAGAAGGGGAAGGGGATAAGAGAGGGGGGAGTGAGATAGAAGGGAGGGCAGATTAGGGGAAGGGGTATACAGAATGCATGCCATTTTGGGGTTAGGGCAGGGATGAGATGGGGAGAAAATTTGGAACTCAAAATCTTTTGAAAGTGAATGCTGAAAACTAAAAATAAATAAATTAAAAACAAAATGATGAGCAGGTGAACTTCAGAAAAACCTGGAAAAACTTGTACAGTCTGATGCTGAGTGAAGTGAGCAGAACCAGGAGAATGTAGTACACATTAACAGCCACGTTGTGTGATGACTAACATTGATAGACATAGCCCTTCTCAGCAATGCAAGGATCTAAGACATCTCCAAAGGTCTCAAGATGGAAAATGTTATCCACATCCAGAGAAAAAACTATGGAGTCTGAATGCAGATTAAAGCACACTATTTGCTCTTTTTTTGTTATTTTGTTTTGTTTCTTCTTTCTCATAGTTACTCCCAATGGTTCTGATTCATCTTTACAACATGACTAATACGAAAATATATTTAATATGAACGTACATGCAGAGCCTATATCAGATTGTACACTATCTTGGGGAGGTGAGAGGGAAAGAGATAGAGAGTAAACAGAAAGTAATCAGAGAAGGTTAATCATTAGCGGTTGGGGAGGGACTAAGAAATGCCATCATAAAGTATCATTTGAGATAAGTACTAAAGGAAACCTGAGAAACCAAGATGCAAAAGTAAGGACTTCCAGGAGACAATGTGGTACAGTAAGCAGTAAACTGCCATAAACTCTCCCATATTCACCTCCAAACAACCATAAAATAACACCTCAAAACAAAACCTGGAACAGCAGAACTAGTAAAAAGATAGGGTGAAACAATATTTTACCCAAGAAACTTGGAAGATTGGCAAGGAAGTCTGTCTCACTTGGGTAAAAGGGAATTTCAGTCCAGAACAGAAAGTATCCCAGCAAACCAGCAGGAGATCCTGAGCCCCAGTGTAAAGGAGCAGGCAAATGCCAACACTAGGACCCTCCATGTGCCTCAGCATAGCCAGAAAGCAGCAGACTCCAGCTCTGAGAACCACTATGTGCTTCAGTGTAGCTCAGAACAAACAGGCATCTTCCAGTCAGATTTCCACCTGCTTCAGCACAGCCCCTGGAAAAAAGGCAGTCTCCAGAGGCTAGACCTCCATGCACATCAGCGTAGCCCTGGGGAAATGAAGAAACATCTCACCAGCCTCAACACCTGCCCAAGACCAGCACTAGGATCCCAGCTCAGCACCAGGTAAGCTGCCAGATCCCTACAGCCACCAGCAGTGTGGCCACTTTACACCCTACCCCCTCAGCATAGCACCAGACACAAGGGTCCCCTGTGGGCCTCAGGGCAACATCAGTACAGCACCAGGTAAACAGCCAGGGCCTGTAGCCCCTGGGACAAGAAGCTTGAGACAGTGCCCCTTCCAACTCAGGAACAGAGCTCAAATTTAAAAGAAATGGAAAAGGCCAAAAAAGATGAGCAATAAACAACAATGAGAAAAGAATCTAACCATAGAAAATTATCATGGTGATAGGGAAGACCGAGACACAAATTCAGAAGAAAACAATGTCAAAACACCTATGGGCAAACCCCAAAGAAAAATGGGAAGTGGTCTTAAGCCCAGAAAGAACTCATGGAAGAGCTCAACAAGCTTAAAAATCATATAAGAGGTGGAAGAAAAATTGGGAAAAGAAATGAGAGTGATATAAGAGAATTATGAAAAAACGTCAACAGTTTAGAAAAAGAAAACAACTGTTTAAAAAGTAGAATTGGACAAATGGAAAAGGAGATACAAAAATCCACTGAAGAAAACAATTCTCTAAAAAGTACAACTGGCCAAATGGAAAAGAAACTCCTTAGGAGTTAGAATTGGGCAAGTGGAAGCTAATGATTCTGTGAGACATCAAGAATCAATCAAACAAATTCAAAAGAATGAAAAAATACTATTAAAAAAGAGTAAGGTGGCAGAGCACTCCAAGTATGGGAGACAGCCAGTGCAAAGGCACAAAGATAGGAGATGAATTATCATGTTCAAGGAATTAAGGGATTACAAGTAGGCCAGTGTAGTCGAATCAGATTATGTGGAGGAGAGTGAAGTGTATTGAAGAATACAAAGATAGGAAAAGGTGAGGACACGAAGATATTTAAATGCCAAACAGGTGAGTTTATATTTGATCCTAGAGGTAAAAGGGAACCACTGGAGCTCATTAAGAGGGTGAGGATAATCTGGTCAGATCTATGCTTTATTTATTTTTAAATTTTACTTTAGTTTTTCAATTTGCAAAAATATATTTTCTCTAAGACCTATAATTTAGAAAAATTACTTTGACAGTGCTACATAGATTGGAATGGGGAGACATTTGAGGCAGGGGAATGGTTAAAAGGCTATTTTCAACAGTCCAGGCAAGAGGTGATGAAGGCCTAAGCTAAGGTTATAGATAGTTCAGAAAGGGAGATGTTAAAGATGTTGTGAAGATAGAAATGAAACATTTTTCAACAGATTGAATATGCGGGGAGAGTGAGGATTTGAGCATGACACTTAAGTTTGTGGGCCTACATGCCTAGAAAGATGATGGTGCCCTAGACAATAATAATGAAATTTGGAAGAAGGATGCATTTAACATCAAGTATAATGAGTTGTTTTGTACATACTGAGTTTGAGATGCTTATAGGACATCTTGTTTGTGATCTCCAAGAAGAAGCAGGAGATATAAGACTTTATCTCAGGAGAGAGATGAGGGATGGAAAAAGAACTGATATTCATAAGGAGAGAGATAATAACTCATCTCATTAGAGCTATCATCAAGTAAGATAATATAGAGCAAAAGGGAGAAAAGGCCAGGAAAAGCCTTTATGGTCACCTAGAGTAAATGGGTTTGATACAGATGAAAAACAAACCCAGCAAGTAAGAGATTAAAACATGAAAATTATTTCTGTTTTCAAGTCTCTGAAGGATATTAATATGTAAAAAAAAAAAGATTAGGTTATATTTTGCTTGGCTCAGGAAGGAAGACCTAAGAGTAAAGGGTGTGAGTTAGGCAGATTTTTTGCTTGATATCAAGCACATTTCTAATAATTAGAATTATTCAGAAGTGGAATGGATCAACTCAAAAGTAGTAAGTAGTCTGGATGATTACTTCTGCTGTGAATTTTGTAGAAGGGATTCATAACTGAAGTATGGAGAGAACAAGATAAAATCATAAGTCCTTACCTTCTATGGGATTCTATAAATAAATTCATTCCTCCTTCTGAATATTTTTCAAAATAGGCAACTCTTCTTACCAAGTTTTTTTATTATTTGTAGAACATTCTAGGTGACTAAAACATATTCTTAAAATAACTACCCTTAAAAATATATGTACACAAATTATTTCAATGAATAAATTCATTTTTCAGCAACATACCTGTCATTTAAAGATTCTCTAAATTTTCTCGAAGAATTTAAATCATCCTTTTGTTTGTATCTCTTATTAATTTGGTTGATCAATGATTCTGCTGCATCAGTAAATTGTTTTTCTTTTGTCTTTTCTTTCTGAAATAGTTCAATTAACTTAAAAGTCTATTACCCAATAAAAATACAGGTTAAATTAAAACAATGCAAAAATCAAAAGGAAGTATATTAAGTCACATTTATACCTAAAATCGAAAAATATCTTGTATATTTGGGCTATCAAGTATTCAAACGGAAAAATTTAGGATAGTGTCTACATGAGGAAGGTAATTAAACATGTATAAAATGTTATCAAACTATTCGAACATTTTGATCCACTTATTCAAATGATGGGTTCAAAGAGGTCAAAGATAAAGAAGTTTCTATTACAGCAACATACAGCAATACTTTTGGTAGTAGCATACACACACACACACACACACACACACACACACACACACAGAGGAAACTGGAGACAAAGCAGGTACCCATTTATTGGAAAATGGTTGAACAAATTATGGTATATGAATGATACAGAAATTTATTGGATCACAAGAAATGACAAATAACAAATGAGGAATTCAAAAAATATATTAGAAGAGCTCTGGTACTTGAATATGATGAAATATTGAACCACAAAAATGACAGATATGTGGAATTCAGAGAAACATAAGAAAACATAAATTAATGTAAAGTAAGAACCAAAAAGTAATATATCTAATAAATATAACATAAATGAAAAGAACACCAAAACAAAGCTGAATACTCTGTAACTGTAATGATGGCTATTGGTGCCAGAGTAAAATGTGAAAAATTTACCCCACTCCTTTTCTTGGAGGGGTGGGAGACTGGATGCAGAATATTGCATACGCTGTTAAATGCAAATGCTTTTTTAGTTAGTTTTGCTTAACTGTTTTTTACTACAAAAGAAGGCTCAGTAGATGGGATTGAGAGGAGCATATTCAAAAATTTGGCATTTTCATATAATGCCAAAAAAAGGTTATCAATAAATTTTTAAAAGGAGTAAATATAACTGTATTTCCATTAATATCCAAGAGCAGCATAATCTGTGTAATGGAGGTTAAAAGTTATCTATCTCCCTATAAAATATAACCAGATACATAACATACATATTGACTTTTTATATAGTCAAATAATTTTAATGTTAAAATATTAATTTCAAATCAGAATGAAAACAAAATGGCAAAATAAATTTTAGCACACTTCATATCAGAACAACTAAATCTGATAATTATTTTGATTTTCCTGCCTCTAGTCTCTCTCTGCAGCAATCCATAGTGCAGACTACCAGATAAATACTTCTAAAATACCACTTCAAAAGATCACATCATTTCCTTATAATACAACCTACCTTCAAAGAGTTGTTGTAGTATCGTAGCTCTATACACACATTTACTATTATTATTATTACTCAAAACATTTAACACAGCTTTGTTGCATACAGGAAAAGACTCAGCTAAGACAACAGACTCCCTACAATATGGTCCCAATTTACCTTTCCAGCTTTATCTCCCATTATTATCCTCCACAGACCCCTCTCAGTACTCTCCTGAACAGGATTTGTACTTTTCTAGAGACAAAGAAGGTTCCAACGGCAATGTAAGCAAATGTTGCAGTAAGACTTTCCTCTGCCCCTAAACAAATCCTACCTTTAGATTTGAGCCTAGCTCATTATTTTATTCAAAACAATTTTGGGGCATTTAATATAATTATATATATGTTAGGTTATGGAATAAGAAAAAAAAAGAGATAGTCTCTGCAACTTTAAGGAATAAATTATCTAGTAAGAGAGTTAAAGTATGAACAAATAACTGCAATGCATTGCTGAATACGAATAAATACCAAAAGAAAGCTACAAAATATTTTGGGAGTTCAGAAGGGGGAGTCACTATTTCTAGTTAAGTATATTTGGAAAACTTCACAAAGGAAATTGCAGTTGGGGGAGGGGGAGGCCTTAAAGAAGAGGTGAAATTATTAAGAAATGATTTTAGAAAAATGCCCAGATTTAAGAAAAATTCCAAATCTGCATTAATTAAATCAGGTTTTTTGAAACAATACTATAATGAAAACATATTATAATAATACGAAAGTCAGAATACTCTGAAAGCTCACCTTTCTATTCATTTCTAGGTCACAAGATCTAATTTCAGATAATATTCCTTTCATAGGCCTTCTATTGCTTTTGGCGTTCATTCCAGAAATGGTTTTATCATAATAATCATTATTTAGATCTTTCGCCAAAACCAACTTCTTGGTGTATATCAGAGACTTTTCAATAGTCCTATTTAGAAGAACTGATTTAAAGGTTTCAGATTCAATATGCCAGTCATTTTTTTCATTTTTTTCAATATTTTCCTGACCTAAACTGATAGAATTATTTAGTGGTTGTTTTCTGTTTGATTCACAAATTTCCACTTTTGTTTTCTTCTTTTTGTTATACTCCACATCTCCTTTTCTTTTCTGATTTTGTACCATATTTTTTTCTAGTGTAATATTATCAGATATTGATGAAAGAGAGGATTTTTTAGTCACTCTTTCACTAACAATGTCTAGTGGAGGGAAAAAGAAAAAAAATAAACGTATTGTTATTTTATTTACTGACAGTTACAACAGTAAAAATAATTACGCATTATTATATAAATTTAACCTTGATTAAATGTTTCTTCTGGTGATGTGCTTGCACTTTCTTTACCACAAATTGTAATATTTCTTATAGGTGTCCAGCAAGTCCATTTTGAGTGGATGTTATTTTCACAAATGTTGTCTGTAACACCAGGCAATCTATAAAGATAATTTCATTTGATTGGTGCTAAACAATTAATTAACAATTAATATTAAATTTTATTTAAATAGGAACATATCCTAGTAAATTTAAAATTAGATAATTTTTATTTTAGAATGAGTTTAATATAGAATTGACCAAGTTAGGCAGCCTCGAGTATACAACACATAATGCTGCAACAAGGGCCATTTTTCATGATTACTTTTTATAAGTTCAAACATTTGTATGCTGTAAAATTCTGCTTTCTAAGTTATAAAGTTATTTATTTTGTAAGAAGTCCAGTGAATCTGATATTCCTTACACATAATATTACTGCATTGGGCTTCATGATACTTGATTGTTCTTTAGCCTATATTGTAGCATTAAGAAATATTTGTCCTTAACTATTAATCTATTATGCCCTGGTAAAATAATGCCCAGGTAATTTCTATTTTTAATAGTTTAGCAGGTCCTCTTAATACTTACAAAGGTTTATCTATTTTCCCAACTGGTTGTGAATCAGGAATGATATCCACATCTCCATCTAAATGAAACATAAATTATTTTTTCTTTTCAGGAAGAGATAGTCCTCTGGCAGAATCTGTTTTCTTACTGAGATTTCAAGTGTTTTTCAGATAAAAATCCTGTTTCATGTTTATTTTGCATTTTTTGCAATGACTACCAAAATTCTGAGCATATAGGTTTGTCATGCAAAAAACAAAAAACATTTTTTTTGGCTATCAGCACGAGTGTAAATATAAATAAGAATAGAAGGTGGCACGGGGAGGATAAATGATAAAAAAAAGTCATTTAAAATGAAACAAAAGGCACTTACTAGAATTTTGTTTTACTAACACAATGCTGTTATCATCATTTTCTTCCATTTCTGAGTCCTTAGATGCTGTAATTGGCTATAAGATAAGAGAATTATTAAAATATAACCTGTGTACTTTTAATTAGTATTAAAAATCTCAATTAATTATGAAATTATGATTTTGAATTTTGAAAATATTAAAACTTTTGGGAAAATTGCCATTAATTTAGTCTCTAATGAGGGATGTTCATGTTTGCTTCATAAAATGTTTGAAACACTATCTTAGAGAACAAATCAATTATCTTCACCGCAAGTAAAGAAGCATGACAAAGAGAGACATAAGATATTATAGATGGTTTTCTGACCATAGCCTTATATATCTTTATTCTAACTGGGAAATGTGAGCTGTTTCCTCCATAGAGTATCATGAAAATACCCTATAATTATGTCTGTAACACATATCAATAACATACTTGTAAATTCTGTATTTCAAATAAAATCTCACAGGTTGTATGTAGCATTCAAAACTACTTTTCCATTTCCATTTTCCATAATAAATATAGTTGAAATTATTTTAAGAAATACCTATAAACTTGCTAGATATTCTTAAAACTAGCAATATTTTCATTTTCATTTGTAATTGTTAGCTTTCCTAGTTCCTAATTTCAGCCAGAATTGATCAGGAGTGAAATTAGGTGAAAGAACATAAACACAAAAAGACTATATATCAATATTTAAAGTGGATGCCTTAATAATGGCTAATTAATAGTGTCACCTCATATTAAGAATAATATTGGTGAAATTCTGAATAATCAAGACTATATGTTTGAATACACTAATACCATAGGAATGAAGAATATGTTTGAATACACTAATTGAAACAAGGACACTAAAAATGCTAATACTCTACTAAAAGTAAATAATTTACTGTTTTCAAAAATATATTAAATTTCTCTACATGTAACCATATATGGAAATGACTATATATGTATATAAATATACACATGTATATATGTGTAGCTATGCATAGGTATATGTGTATGTGTATATATATTTATATTTCTCAGATACTCAGAGTAAAATGTCATTTAAAAACTTCTGATATAATCAGTTACTTTTTCTACACTATCAATCAATCAATAAGAATGTATCAAGTCACTACTGTGTGGAATATGAAGATAAAAAAAATTCCCTGGGGGCAGCTAGGTGGCGCAGTGGATAGAGCACCGGCCCTGGATTCAGGAGGACCTGAGTTCAAATCCGGCCTCAGACACATAACACTTACTAGCTGTGTGACCTTGGGCAAGTCACTTAACCCCACTGCCTAGTCAAAAAGAAAAGAAAAAAAAAATTCCCTGTCCCCAAGGAACTTATATTCTACAGGGAGATATAAATGTATATGCATATATGAAATAGATATAAAGCACTTTCTGAGGGAAGATGCTCTAGCATTTGCCTGATTTAGATCAGGTAAGGTCTCATATGTGTGAAATGTGTCTTGAAGAAAATGCAATTCTTAAGAGGTGGAGACAGGGAAGGTATAAATTCAAGGCATGAAGGGCATCTAGCACAAAGCAGGGATTTAGGAGATTGGGTATCCTTTAGGAGGAACAGTAAGAAGGCCAGTACATCTGGATCTTAGCGAACGGAAAATGAATTAATTTGTAACAAGGCTGGAAATGTAAGTTGGGCCAAGATGTGAAGAACTTTGAATATTAAAAATAGCTTAAATTTTATCCTTCAGATAGTAGGGAACTAATAGTATTTACTTAAGAGAGGAGTGACATGGTCAGACCTGCGATTTAGGAAAATCACTTTGGTAGCCGTGTGGATTCCTTCCTTCAACTGAGCCAGGAAAAGATGTGGTATTTTTCATTCCCTTTTCTTTTACTTCGTAAATACTGGGTGGTTCAGCAGAGTTCACCATTTTCAAAGGTGGCTTAATTCTTCCGGTTCGAGGTGTTGCTAAAATTTAGAATAGGATTTTTATTAGATGCTGACATTATTGATATGTTTTTATAAATTTAGAAATGTACACATAAATACAAATATGAATGTGGTCCCTCCACCTAGGTGATGTAGTGAGAGTATTATAAAGATAAATTATATATATGTGAATATATAGATTCATACATATATTCAAAGGTACTATTATTTTTGTAGTTTTTCTCCTATAATAAAAATATCTGTATGTTACACGATTAATTTTCTTCTTAAGAAAAATTAACAATATCCACTTGAAATATTTCTAATAATTAATAGTGTATGTTGTAAATTTTAACAACTTACATGTGTTGGCTAATAAGGTCTTCATAGTCAGTTTATCTGTACCAGGAATAACCATTGATGCTTCAGACATTTTCCTTTTAACAGGAGTTAACATCTTAAATGATGAGAAACAAATGTTATGAATGCACATCCTCTTTCCAAATGAAAATACCTCATAATTAAGCTTGTAACACATATAAATGATGCCAATGTGGTTATTTAAGAACAATAACATATTTGTAAATTCTGTAATTCAGTCCATTAAACATCCCTGGTTTTATCCTTTGAATGGTCAGATGACACATGGAACATCATATTTAGTTCAGAAAACCACAGCTTAAAATATACAGTGATAAGCTGGAAAACATTCAGAGGAGGCAACCAGGATGATTAAAGCCTTTTAAACTATGTCAAAGAGTATGAGTTAAAAGAACTGGAAATGATTGGTCTGGTGAAAAGAAGACTCAGTGGTGAGGAGGGGAGAAGGGGACAAGATAATTCTTCCTCAGAAATTTTGAAGGGTGCTTACATGGAAAAGGAATTCTGTTTTTGTTTGGCTCCAGATAGAAGAAGTAGGGGCAAACAGCAGAACTGCACAAAGGTAAATTTAGGCTTGATGTCAGGAGAAAAACAAAACCAACAAAAAAAAATTCCTAACAATTAGAACTGTCTAAAAGTGGAATGGTATACCTCAGGAGATAAAAGGGTTCTTGCTCATTGAAGGTCTTCAACCATAGGCTGGATGAATACTTGTTGGGTGTTGATTATATATAACATGTGGTCAGGGATTCCTTTGAGGTAGAGGTTTGACCAGATGGTCACTGAAATGCCTTCAAACTCTAAAATTCTGTGGGAAGGACTTAATGAAAATCTCTGAGCAAAGCTGTGATGTTATTCAAATGAAAATCAATTCAGTAGTGGTATGCAGGCTAGAATAGGGGTGAAGGTAAGATGTGGAGACTAGAGTTATGGAGATCAGCTAATTCATGCATGTATGCCTTCACTCATGGAAGGCCCTTCCCTATCTAAATCCACTTTGCCTGCCTATTCAAATCTTTACTGATCTCTGATTCCTTTTTACTCCTAAAACATTTCAGCTTGTACCATATAATTTGATATTTAATTGCATGCTACATTGTATTATTCACATTATTCAAGTTAAGTACCTGGAGTACCAGGACCATATCTCATATTTTTTTTTAAATATTCCCCAAAGGTCTTAAAAGCCAAAGAGATAATTTCCACATGAGTTATTGAGGGTCTATGATAGAAGGTGCTAGCAAAGACTAGAGATAAAGGGATGGATGTGAAAGATATTAAAGAAGAACTGACAGGACTTGGTAATTGGATGTGAAAAGGAAAAAAGAGAGACATCAAAAGTTAGTCATTAGCCCTTTCTTCTTCTTTCTTTGCACTTATTTTCTTGGCATCAACTACTACACCTCTATGCAAATGATTTCCAAAAATGAATCTCTAACCCTGGCCTTTCTTCTGAGCTCCAATAAACATCTCTAACTGCCTATATAAAACACCTGAGTTTCCTACCACCTCCTTAGAATTAATATGTCTAAAACTAAGTTATTTCCTCCCTACCTCACCTCCAACCTCCTTCTGATTCTACCCTTCCTGTCAAGGACAGCAGAATTCACTTTACTTCTCACATTCAAAATCCACTAAATATCACCTCCCCATCCCTAATATCTTTGATTCTTCCTTCTCCTTCACTTATATTTAATCTGTTATGAAATCTTGTGCATTGTACATAAATATCTCTTATATGTGTCTCCTCTTTTTGTTGCTCTAACCCTTTCCACTACTGTAATAGTTGTTAGCTGCCTATAATCCATCCTTGATATTTTTTCTACCAGTCCTGCTTCCATCCTGGCTTCTAAAGTGATTATATAGCACAGCAACTCTTGTGGAGAAAAGAACTTCCATTCCTGCCACCACCACTATCAACAAAAGTCAAATAACTGTTACTTATGGGATATATGCCAGCCTAGCTAAAGCAAAAAGGCACAGAGAGAGAGAGAGAGAGAGAGGGACAGAGAGACAGAGAGAGACAGAGACAAAAGGTAGCTTGTGCCACACTGGTCAAATACCAGTGACCACCTAACCATTAACTCCTCCCAGATCTATGTAGATCCAGCCCAGGACCTTGAACCCAACAGCCCCAAGAAAAGTAGCACCTCCAAAGGACCAGTCCTATTTATAGCCCAGGATCCATAGCCATCATCTGAGGAAACAACCCTTGTGAAGATGCTCTTACCATCAAAGTCCCTGGCATTGTCAAATAGTTCAGCACCAGAAAAGTATAAATTTCTAATATTTGATGTAGAAATGGCATTAAAGGAATAGAAAAGATAAATTAGTAAGAGGAAGCAGGGGGTAAAGTCAAGATGGCAGAATAGACAAGCTTTTTAGCAGAGCTAAAGAACCCCCTTCAAACAAAATAACACCTCAAATCAAATTCTGGAGTGGCAGAGCCAATGCAAGGTCAGGGTGAGATATTCTTTCAAGACAACTTAGAAGGTCAGAAGGAGAGATCAGTGACATGGAGGCTGGTCTGGAGCCCACGTGGATGCATATAAGTGGTTGGACCAGGTGGTGGCAAGAGAAGTAGCTTCAGAAGCACTCAAGCCAGAGGTGATAAGGGACTGGTAACTGGTCAGAAAGACATTATAGGGGACTCCTGTGCTGGCACTGGATACAGGACAGTAAGCTCTTTGGCAACTCCATTAGTCATTTATGGATTAGAATTCAAGGGTAGAGAGGAGCACTTTTGGTTAAGAGGGAGCAGGGTTAAGAGAAGCAGTATCACTTTCAGGCAAAAGGGATCAGGGACCCTCAGGAGCAGTACTGCTTACAGTCCAAAAGGAGCAGCAGGGGCCCTGAAAAAAGTATCATTTCCAGTCCCAAGGGAGCATGGACCCTGAGGAGCAATGTTGACTGCAATCCCAAGGCATCAGGGGCCCTTCTTATGTAAGGACCAAAGCACACAGACCAGAAGAGTATCATGTCCTCACACATGTCCTCAGTTCACACCACCTTGGAAGCACCAAAAATTCTAAACTTCCAGAAAAAGATTCTGAAAACAGCAGTGCAAAGAGCCTAAAGCTTGGGACACTGCCCTTCCCCTGCCCCCGATCCCCACCTCCCATGCCCAGAACTTTAACATAAAGTTCAAATTCAAGAAACAGGCTGGAAAATGTAAGCAAACAACAAAAAATAATCTGAAAGTAAAAAGTTACTATAGTGGCATGGAAGAGATCAGGACACAAACTCAGACGGCAATAATGTCAAAAGAGGTATGAGCAAAGCCTCAAGGAATAATATGAATTGGACACAAAACCAACAAGATTTCCTAAAAGTACTAAAAAAAAAATGATTTTCAAAACAAAATAAGAGTGCTACAGGAAAAACTGGATAAAGAGAGGAGAGTAAGGGGAGAAAACTATAAAATGACATCAACTTGGTAAAAGAGGTGCAAAAAATACAGAACAAAATAACACCTTAAAAAACAGAATTGGCCAAATGAAAAAAGACATACAAAATTCATTGATGAAAATGACTCCTTAAAGAGAAGAACAGGCCAAATGGAAAAAGAGGTACAAAAGCTCACTGAAGAAAATAATTCCTTAAAATTAGAATTGAGCAAGATGAAGTCAATGACTCCATGAGACATCAAGAAACAATTTTCAGAAGTCAGAGGCATGAAAAATGGAAGGAAATGTGAACTATCTCATTGGAAAAATATCCAGGAGAGATAAATTTAAGAATCATCATGAGACTATCTGAAAGTTACGATCAAAAGAAAGAGCCTGGAAATCATCTTTCAAGAAATTATCAAGGAAAACTGACCAGATATCCTGGAAACAGAGGGTAAAATAGAAACTGAAAGGGGACCACTTATCACCACCTGCAAGAAATACCCAAATGAAAACTCCCAGGAATATTATAGTCAAATTCCAGAGCTCTCAGGTCAAAGAGAAAATAGCAGCGAGAAAGAAATGATTCAAATATCATGGGGCCACAGTCAGGATCAAACAAGAGTTAACAGCTCCCATGTCAAAGCAATGAAAGGCTTGAAAATAATATTCCAGAAAGCAAAGGAGCTAGGATTACAATCAAGAAGAACTTATTCAGCAAAACTGAGTAATCCTTCAAGGGAAAAAAATACATTTATTGAAATAGAGGATTTTCAAACATTCCTGATGGAAAGACCAGAGTTGAATAAAATATCTAACTTTCAAATACAAGATTAAAACAAAACATAAAAAGTAAACACAAAAGAAAAATCATAAGGTTAAACTATTTAGATTCTTATATGGGAAGATGATATATGTAACTCCTAAAATCTTTATTAATATTAAGGCAATTAGAAAGAGCCTACATAGACAGAAGGTACAAGAGTGAGTCAATTATGTTGGGATAGTTGGTTTTTTTTTAAATGAATAGGTGAGAAAGAAGGATTGCCTTGGAGAAGGTGAAGGGAAAGGAAGAATTGGGAAAATTATCTCATATAAAAGATACATGCAAGAGCTTTTATAGTGAAGGGTAAAATGGAGTGAGGGAGGGTGGAGGAGGCCAGATAGCATTTGAACCTCACTTTCATCTAAATTTATTCAAAGAGGGAAAAAATATACACCCACACACACACACAACTGGGCATAGAAATCTATCTTACTCAACAGGAAAATGGGAGGGAAAGGGGATAGGAGAAAAGGAGGGATTATAAAAGGAAGGGCAGATTAGAGAAGACAGTTGTTAGAAGCAAAACACACTTTAGAGGAGAGACAGGATAAAAAGAGAGAGAGGGAAAAGGATAAACAGAAGAAAACAGGATGAAAGGAAATGCACAGTTAGTAATCATGACTATGAATGTGAATGATATGAACTCACACATAAAATAGAAGCAGATAGTAGAATGGATTTGAAACCAGACAATGTGTTGGTTATAAGAAACAGAGAGAGAAATGGACAGAATTAAAACAAGGGACTAGAGTAGAATCTACTGTGCTTCAGATGAACTAAAAAAGGCAGGGGTATATATCATGTATTCAAACAAAGCAAAAACAAAAATAGATCTAATTAAAAGAGATAAGTGAGGAAACT